TTGAACATCTTATGTGTTGTAGTCAGCTGTTGGCGTGTCAGAAGGATGAGATTGTATCGTATGTTAAAAAGTGAAGTAATGAAATAGGAAATGGAGATCTAAGAGTCATTGTGCTACTGAATGGAAATATTGATAGAAAGCCACGTTTTTATATACAATCATACAAGAAAATTTTTTCCGGAGTAAAATCTCACTTTTCTCAAACTATCGACATCTCCTGACACAATTTTAAATATTTTTTTATCTTCGAAGTCTTCAATTACAACTTTGAAATTGAAATTCAAAGTACAAATATGTCATCATTATATATATAATCTGTCTATTTCCAACTTCAATTTTCGTGTCTCGTCCGCTTTAACAAAGTTGAGGATAACAATGGATCTTATAAAACTTATGTTAAATCTTAAAACTCTATTGATGCTACACAAGCAATGTTATAAAAATTAATGATGACATGGATGACAAAAATATGATTTTCAAATCAATTTCAAACATCAAAATCTTCAATTTAGTTAATTATTCCCAAAATGAAATCAAATAATAGGCGGTAATAGGAACAACATCAAAGGAATTGAAGATTTACAGTTGAAACTGAACTGAAAAGTGAGGTTAAGAATGACTGTTTGTTTTAGTTCGGCAATTACTGTATTAAAATATAATTTGAATAATCAGGCATTGTTAAAATTAAAAAATCTCATTCTTTATCATATATCATTGTTTGGTTCTTTAAAACTTTTCCGATTGTCTATACAAGAATTTAAGGTTATGTGAGCTTCCATCTCAACCCTCAACTCTACTCTCACCTTGCATCCGTCTCGTAACTAACCGTGAAAGGGAGAACTCCAAAATCGTGTCTCCTGAGCTGCAGAAATTATAGGCGTCTGACTGTATACTAGCAGTGTCTTTAACGCTTATAATTTTCCATTTATATGAAAAACAATTTCATTCATTGATAATTAATAGTCTGTAACGTTAGATGAGTATGGACACTGAGAAAATTTTTGTTTACATTTTATTCAGAGAGTGTCTCAGTAAAATTTGCAATGTTTGATAGTAGATTTTGCTGTGTTCCTTGAAGAATTTTATTAAGTTTTATAAATTCATAATTAAATAAAACCGACGAAATATTATTTTCATTAATCCAATCCTTGAAAATATTTTTTTGTTGATCCATGGCATGGACTATTGAAGAAATATATGTACACAGTCATTTTTTATATCTTTTAAAGTAAATATTTTGTTACATTTTATTCATATTATTGACAGTGTAATGTATTTTTGCTCTTTATAGGTGTCAATATTTAAATCATATGCTTAATCTTAGAGACTTTAAGTTCCTCTTTTTAGTCCTAGCCTTTCGAGTAATAGACAGGGACGAGGGGATCTTCGATGGAGGAAGTGATTTATAAAAACAATAACTAAATTTATTAAATGGAAATTATTGAAAAATTATAACAACAATTTAAACGTTATCAACAGATGATTTCTCTTTACTCTGGTCGAGATAAATTGCAATTAATTGGTCCCTAGTTGATGCTCTAGTCAGCGCAATGTTCACTTGGAAATATCAATTAAAAAATAATTTGACGATCAAATAAACTTCATACAAAAATTTACAAATCTAAAATATTATCAATACAATGTTCAAGACGGAACAAGACGTAGGATTTCAAGAGATGTTACACGACGATCTGATCTCGATCTCACTTTTTTGACAACTGACTGATGTATCAAACGTTACGTGTTTATTTAGTCGAATGTGACATCATAAGAAGTCCCTTGCTTCAGGCGTGCACAATTCCCGTCGCATGGTCTTTCCCTTTTTGGAAAGCTAATACTCTTCTGCCGTCACGTACTGTTTTCTTGGAATTCCATTGCTTTTCGCCACGTGGTTTTCCAAAAGCAATAAAATACCCAAAAGAAGATTTCCTCAACTCTTTTTCGAAATCCTGTCTATTTCAACGAAATCTTAGAAAAACTCAAAGAAAAACAACTTAAGTAACAATGGTTAACTTCGATCCTTAAGTTTTATTGCTATTTATTTTTAGCTGTTCTTAGAATTTATTTTTAAAAATTAGGTGAAATAATTGGAATACATTCAGACAATACACCCCCCGTGTTAGATGGAAGTACAAGTGACAAAATTTGATCGAGTACGACGTTTTTCTTTTTAAAATCAAACATTTACAATAAGATAAGTAACACTTAACGCATACATGGTTAGTTATTTGAAAATACTTCCTATCTGTTGTTTGTCAGTGATAAACCATTCTATAACTATTTTATAATGCTTTCGAAGACCTTTTGGCAGCTCGCTAGTGGCTTTTTTGTCATCCTTATGAGAATTAGTTGAAGTTAAGTAGACCAATTTTGTGAAAGGTTATTCACTTGACAAATACTCGAGTTGTCATTTCTGTTTTTTGATTATCTATATCTGGATATAATGGAGAACTAGCTTCAGCTGCTGTAACATCTTCTCCACGTTCACCGTTTATATCCGACATCTTCACATTTGGTGAAGAATATTTATTTAAATCATCTTTTGCCGAATGAACCAATATGTATGTTATTGAGTCTCAAAGGGTTCCTATTAATTTCAATAACCATCCGTACACGATATGAAGTATGTAACCATGTACAATGGTATCTACTATTAGTTTACATATTTTCAGGACCATAAACACGCCAATGAACCCTGCACTGATAGCCCCAAATTTGACAAATCTTCTCCCCGGCATTCTTGGCTATTAATTCCAGTGATTCTTTATCCAGCATATAATAAATTGATGGCTTATTTGATATTGATCCTCTTGTTGCCTTTTCCGCAACTATCTCTAATACTGCTATCTGTTCCATGGTGAACATTATCCGATTTCTCATGGTTTCTAAATCTTCTGATGTGTGAATTCCGCTACTCGCCAAATGAACGAGATTTTTGTATCCTCAAGTAATTTTCGAGTCTGGTTTTAGACTCATCGGTGGTGCTGTTTCGACAGGTTTTGGCATGAACTTATACTATGTCCGTCCAATTTTATGAAATTGTAATAGTGGCGAATTACAAGGAATTTGTGCTGCATGATTTATGATTATATGAGTTGTTGGTGATAAGAAAAAACTTCGATTGTTTCTTAATATTGGTATTCTGTTATAACAAGTTTTTGTATGCTGAATCGTCACTTCAACTGGAACACGTTGTACAATATGAATAACTTCTCCAGCCAAAATTACCATGAATCTAGGTCCTTTCATGAATCTATAGGCGAATTCATCGGGCTGGGTTGATGCAATAGCTAGGCTGTTCTGTAGAATCTCCTTCTCCAGCTTACACCTATGCATCATTACATCATGATAAATGTTTGGAGCTGACGTCTAATGTGTCTTTGAACATAAATAAATTTTGTATTAATATATAGAAAAATGTCCATGTTATCAGTTGTCGTATTGACTGCTTTAGTTGCTTCCACAGTGAGGTTCCAATAACTATGAAAAATTTTGGATGCTCAGTCTTTCGTAATTTGAGTCCACATGAGTCTTTAGTTCTAATTACAGATAATTAAAATGTAGTATCTTTCGACTGAACTGTGTAAATCGTTTCCTTTTAAGTTTTTGATTTTTAAGCTAATTCCATTTAAAACCGAACGGCAAATAAATTTGATTAGAGTCCATTTTTACTCGAGCTATTACTGATCGTAAACTAATACAAACAGTGCCCATCACTACTACAGAATTCCATGTAACGTATGGATCTGAGTACTGTGCACCTGAACAAGCTCCATTCTGAGGTTGATGAGCCTGCTAAGGTGATGCTTCTAATTGTAGTTGTATTTAATAGTAAACCATCTATTACTGCATGAGCGATTCAAAGCGGGCCATGATCGTGCGCTATCTGGCATGCTTCCCTTGACATGGAATGGACATAATCCATCTACACGTTATCAACAACCGAAACATAAGAATGCATTGCACAATAATGCCCCGTTCTATTTATTTTAACTTTACATTGTTTTATTTCAACATGATTATATTCATTAATGTGCAATAAGAAAAGGTTTATATTTATTATTTAGACGTGTTAATCTTCAACATTGCATTCCTCAATGTCTAATAGAGATATCGTCGTCATATTCAACGACTTGGAACTGCAATCATACCCAATAATGGTTTGAACTGCTCCAACTACAATCGACAATAACAAAATTTAGAATCCTTGCAATGTTACTGAAAAAAATTAATAAAATAAACAACAAAAATTAATTCCGATAATCTGGATCATTCTCCTTGGTTATTCGTATTTTCGACTTCTTCAATTGTTCTTTAGCTTCGGACATCGTTATTTTTGACTTTTTTAATCTATTAGAATGAACTATATTCGGTTTATTCTTAATTAGTATTTTGACATTTCCATTTGGATATATCTCTTAAACTTCAAATGGTCTATCATAATGATCACTTAATTTATTTGGCTTTAAACCTTTTTCTAAGAAAACATTATCCCATATATGTAACTCGATAGGTTTCATCTTTCTGTCATAATATTTCTTTGACATTTCTTTCGAATCTACTAGATTTTCATAAGCTAATTTACGTATGTTCGTTAATGTTTCCACTAAATCTGCTACATAATTTTTATACGTTGGCAGACGATCTAAGTTATGCAACGGTTCATTTATCGGAACGCGCGATACTTTTCCAAAAACAAGTTCATAAGGTATAAATTTCATACCTTCATGAACACTCGTGTTATCTCGCACTTCGAGATTACGAAGGTAGTGTCACTACTTTCATGTCTTGGACCTCAAGTTTAAAGCCAAAAGTGAACGACTGGGGCGCCCCTTAACCATCGTGGTGCTGCCCCGTTACTATTTGATCATCCGTTATTTTTGTGTCAGACGGGCCGCATGGTTGATGCGAAAGTGAACAGTATTATAATTTATACAATTGAATATAATTCATTCATCGTATAGAAATTAATCATCAAGTTATCAAGTAAGAAGTTTGAGATGGGTAAGAATAAAAAGTCAAGAAGTCGTGATCGTTCAGAGGAGAGAACATCGAAAAGGCTGCGGAAGCTGGAGGACAAGATGGAGGAATTGACGTCAGGATTTGCTCAAATCAAAGATGTTATGTTGAGGCGTAGTCGATCGTACTCAGTTTCAGAAGAAGCTGACGTGGAAGGTAATTGATTTTACGTTAATGATGTATTGTGAACACGAGATGCAATCACAATTTATATATGTCGAGAATCAATCTTCATGCCCGAGAGGCCATGGTTGATTTTCATTTTTATGGTTAATCATAATAATGACGTGTGGTTACAATACGGTTCTATTTTATCCGAGAGGTAAAATAGAGCTGATATGGTGGTCGGTCTTTATCTGGAAGATAAAGTAGAAATTTACATTACTCTGTTTTATCCGAGAGATCAAAACAGAGTAAATATTAAGATAACCTAAAAGGCATAGCATAATAAGTTCCTTGTACATTGAATGCCTGCAGGAACTGGAAGTGGTGATGATAAGTCGGTCGAGGAAGTGGACGCTAGTGTGGAACCTAGTAAAGCGGCGGAGCCGCCTTCCAACCTACAATCCTAGACTCCTCAAGTCACCATTGATGAACAACAAAATATAAGAGAGGGAGTCTCTCAGCCAGGAGAGTCCAGTGCACCGGAACAAGAGACAATTAAAGACAAGGAAAATGAAAGTCCTTGGGACCTAGACGCTGATGCCCTCCGTATTCTTGGTGAAGAACCTGTTGAAGAAAAACCTATGTTAGTCTTTCACTTCAGCGTTGCTAATCGTTGGAAAAAATATCTTTCCGAAGGTCTGAGGTGAAGGAGTCGTTGTTTGAGAAGTATCCTCGAAAGGGAAAACTCTCTTTCGAACCTCCGATTCTAAATGAAGAAGTTGCAGGTAATTTGAAAGAATCGGTGCTGAAGCGAGATAAATATTTTTGTGCAACACAAATGTTAGCCGGATCAGCCTTGGCGGCTTTAGCTCCAGTAATTGAATCCTTAGCAACTCTCAAAGATTCAGATAGTATTAAAAGGCTAGAACAAGTTTGGGATGCTGCCGAATTACTGATTGAAATTCACAAATCTCAAACAGTCGCACGCAGGGCTTGTATTTTACCAACATTATCTAAGCAGTGGGCAACGGCATTGAAAAAAGGGAACCCGATAACTTTTTGCTTGGTGAAAAGTTAACCGAGAAGGTTAAAGAAATTAAGGTGATGGGGAAAATACGTGAAGAAATGAAACCAACCCCACTAAAGAAACCATATGGTACTTCTGGTTCTTTAAACTCCAAGAGCTCGTCGAGTCGGAAGAAGTCAGCGCCTCAGACGAGCGGAAAGTATTCATCGATGAGGAAACCACTGACTTCCAAGTTCCCGACAAAACAATCATCATATCCCAAGTCCAGTCATTATCGCCGGCACCAACGGTCTCAGAACCATTAATCACAGATAATGTTGTAAGTAGGTTCGCAGGTCGTCTAAAATATTTTTTAAATGCCTGGAAAACAATCACTAAGGACAAATTTATCCTTCAGTGCATTAAAGGTAATAAGATACCCTTTGAATCAACTCCTATACAAACTTGTCCACCATCTGAAAAGTTTTGGTCGGATCAAGAGCTGACAAACATCCAATCAGAGATTAGTGAATTGTTAATGAAAGGTGCAATTAAGGAAGTGGAAGAGATTCCAGGACAGTTTTTGTCTCCTTCCTTTTTAGTCCTTAAAACAGATGGTCAACAGAGGTTTATTCTTAATTTAAAGGATTCAAATAAGTTTATCAATGTGGAACACTTCAAACTCGAGGACCTTAGATCGGCTTGTAATCTTTTGGATCGAGATATCTTCATGGGGACTATTGATCTTAAAGACGCGTATTTTTTGATTCCAGTATGGAAATTGCATCGAAAATTTTTAAGATTTGTTGTTCAAGGAAAACTTTATGAGTTTGTTTGCCTACCCTTTGGCCTATGTACATGCCCATTGACATTTACCAAACTGTTGAAGCCAGTATTAAACTATCTTCGTCTAAAAAGGTTCTTGTCAGTAATATATTTGGATGACTTTTTATGTTTAGGTCACTCAGTTGAGGAGTGTATGGAGAATTTACATCAAACGATTAATCTACTCGAGAAATTAGGTTTTATAGTCAATTTTAAAAAGTCCAAATTGAACCCTGAAAGAAGATGTAAGTATTTGGGATTCATATTGGACTCTTCCTTGATGAGGGTAGAGCTTCCGGAAGAGCAAAAACTTGCAGTACAAAAACAGATCAAAGACCTTAAAAAGAAGAGTACAATAAAGATTCGCGAATTTGCTAAAGTTATAGGTTCAGTGGTAGCTTGTTATTCAGCGGTGGAGTACGGTTTGCTACATTGCAGATCGTTTGAGAAAGCAAAGATCCGAGCGTTAGAGAAAAATAGAGGTTATTTTGATGCAGTGATGACAATTCCTAAATCTGCTCTCACTGAGTGGGATTGGTGGTTAAAAACTTTACCAAATGCTAGTAGGAAAATAAGAAATAATCATTATGAGAGAACGGTTTACTCGGATGCATCTTCATTTGGATGGGGGGCTTTTTGTGAAGGTGAAAGCGCCAATGGGCTATGGAGCTTGGAGGAAAGAAATCTTCATATAAACCACCTTGAACTCAAAGCGGCTTTATTAGCCTTGAAATGCTTTGCTGCGGATCTAAGGAATACTGACATTCTAATGATGGTCGACAATACAACGACAATGGCGTACATAAATAAAATGATAGGTGTTCGATATTCTGGTCTTCATAGGTTAGCTTGCGAACTATGGAATTGGTGTGAAGTTCGAAAATTATGGGTTTATGCTTCGTACATCCCATCAGAAGAAAATGTCGAAGCTAATCGATCATCAACAATCGACAATTCAGATGCAGAGTGGGAATTAGCAGACTATGCGTTTCAAAACATAGTTAAAAGATTTGGAAAGTTAGAAATCGACTTATTTTCTTCTCGAATAAATATCAAATGTGAGACCTATTGTCCATGGAAAAGAGATCCAGAAGCTTATGCATTTGATGCCTTTACAATTAGCTGGTCTGACTGGATATTTTATGCTTTCCCTCCATTTGCCATAATTACTAAAGTAATAAAGAAAATTAAGGATGATAAAGCTGAGAGTATTTTAGTTGTACCTCACTGGCCTACCCAGGTTTGGTTTCCAGTTTCCAAAAAATTATCATTAGGGGACTGGATTTGGTTTGAAGCAGATCCTAATCTTTTAAATTCTTCTTGTAGATTACGGCATCATCCTCTGGCTGCAAGACTTACCCTGGTTGCCGCGAGGCTATCAGCTAAGCATTGTTAAGCAAGGGCATGCCCAGGGAAGCAGTAGAGACCTCGCTAGCTTCACTGGCAGACTCAATCTTGAAAAATTATAATGGTACATTGAAGCTGTGGTGGAAATGGAATGAAGGCAACGGAAACCCATATGAAGTATCGGTGGAGAAAATATTAAACTTTTTGGCGGAGAGATTTAGTGATGGAGTTGGTCACAGTGCAATAAATTCGGCTTGTCCTTGATATCGAATGAGGACGTCTCTAATAACCCGTTAATAAGTCGCTTTGTTAAGGGTGCATCAAAAATAAGACCTGGAAGGCCTAAATATGAATCGACGTGGGACGTAGATCCAGTGTTAGCCAGATAAGAAACTTGGGCTCCTATAACGGAATTGTCCTTGAAGAAATTGACGGAGAAGTTAGTTGTCCTTCTTGCTTTAGGTACAGTGCATCGCTGCCAGACATTGGCATTGATAAAAATTTCAAATATCAACATTGAGGAGTCAGAAATTGAAATTAGAATTTCTGACAAGATAAAAACCTCTCGACCAGGAGCTCCGCAACCAGTGTTAAGACTTCCGTTCTTCTTGAACAAACCGGAATTGTGTATAGCTCGGACCTTGAATCAGTACATATCTGTGAAGAAGGACCTTCGAGAGGGTACAGACTCCTTATTCATCGCAATTAATAAGCCACATAAGGCAGTCAAAAGCGAGACAATTGCTCGGTGGATAAGGACGGCGTTAGAATCATTAGGAGTTGACAAAAGATTTACAGCACACTCTACTAGACATGCATCGACGTCTCGAGCACATAAAAAAGGCGTCAGTATTGACGAGATAGAAAAGGTGGCAGGGTGGTCTAGGAATTCTAAAGTTTTTGCTGATTTTTACCACCAGCCAATAGTGGTTTTTGATAACAGATTCGCCGAGGCGGTGTTAACACCAGGTACATCAGTAGAGCTAAATGTACAAACACCTGAAAACATGATAATAAATAAATTTTTATTTTGTCTTTAACGTTGAATATTCAATAAATTGATTAATACCTAGAAAATGTTGCTCTAAACAGCTACCTTCGTAATCTCGAAGTGCAAGACACGGAGGATAATTGAATGATCTTACGAGCCTGCCGAAAGCAGGCGAATGTCAGATCTCAATTATTCGAGTGTCTCGCACGAGAGATTCCCACCCAAGTGGTACCAAGTACTACCCCATCCCATTATCTTCAGACAAATAAAAAATATGATAGCTTTAAACTAATGATCAAATAGTAACGGGGCAGCACCACGATGGTTAAGGGGCGCCCTGGTCGTTCACTTTTGGCTTTAAACTTGTAGTCCAAGACATGATAGTAGTGACACTACCTTCGTGATCTCTCGTGCGAGACACTCGAATAATTGAGATCTGACATTCGCCTGCCTTCGGCAGGCTCGTAAGATCATTTAATTATATGAAAACATGGCTAATTCTAACTACTCGTCCCACTCGCCTTCTTTACGTGCGAATTGTTTTAAATATTTTCCCAACACATGTAGAATCTCTAAAGAACCATTTGATTGTGGCCTCAACGCGGTTGTCTGCAACTCTTTTATTTTAAATCTTTTTATTATTCTTTGTATGAAATCACTAATGAAATTACGACCTTGATCAGTCAATAAAACCTTTGGTGCTCCAAACATACAAATAAATCTTTTAATGAATGCATCCGCAACCGAAATCGCGGTCATATTTTCAAGTGGAATCGCGACATTATACTTTGATAACTGATCCTGAATTGTTAAGATATATTTTTAACATGAGTTAATTTTTTTAATTGACAATCTAAACATTGTTGTATTCGACGTTGCACGTTGTCCTTTAAATCTTTCCAATAATAATTATGGTTTAATCTATTATATGTTTTAGACACACCTTTGTGACCACCAATGGGCAAAGAGTGTGCTTCAACTAAAATTTTATTACGTTCATCCGAAGGAACGTGCCTAATAGTTCCTAGAGAAATAATTACTTTTATATTTTCATTCTCAAAAATTTCTTCAATCATTGATGAAACATCATCCCAAGGAATATTTTCTATAGACTGCGAATGAGCAACTGAAACTGTTTTAATATTCTTTTCTTTTAACATGACTTTCAAGTTAACAAAACATCGTCCTATATGACTATTGACTCGAATTATAGATTCTTCTTTCGATTCTCTAATTATACATGCAAATTATTAAGGTCTTTCAATTTCTTAGAGCCCTCATCACGAAGATGTCTACTATCATCAACAAAATAAACTAAATTATCCTTTCTATACTGGAATAATTTTCTCGATAAAATAATATTCGACCTAATTTTCTTAATTTTTTGTTCATGAACAGCTACATCCTCCAGTGAATCATCCGATTCATTGTCCGACTCGATTTCAGACTCGGAGTCAGGATCATGAGGATTTCCAGAACTAGCAAATCTCGTATTATCATCACTAAAGATACCTTGAGTATTTACATTATAAGGTTCTTTAGAGTCTAACATCTTTTTCGGTGGCCTACCTTTTTCGTGAGCATAGCTCCATCCGTGTTTACGACTCGTATACGCGGCCTAACCCTTTTTTTTTGGGAATAACATTGCAGTTTTCTTCTTTTTTTTGATGATTTTCCTAATGAATCATTTAAATCACTGACTTTATTGTTCATTTGCAATTCGAGATCAGAGCAATCTTTCTTTCCATTTCCAACTTTTGCTTGAGCACGAGTAGTAACATTTACAATTTCTACCAGATTTCGCGACAATGCATCCGCGTTCAAATTAATTTTTACCAGTTTATATACAACATCATAATCATATTCTGCTAATTTTAAACGCCATTGAAGAACTCTCGCGTTTGCTTTTTTTGCAGATTGAAACCAGATCAATGGTTTATGATCAGTAACTAACGTGAATTCATGCCCATAAATGTAAAGCCTAAAATTTTTAACAGCTTGGACAATAGCCAAAGCTTCCTTTTCATATATATCATATTTCAACTCAGCGCCTCTTAACGCTCTCGAATAATAAGCAATAGGTTTATCTTTACCTATTTTCCCTTGAGATAAAACTGCACCAACAGCAATGCCTAAAGCATCTGTTGTAATTATAAATGGTTTTGAAAAATTTGGATATTGTAATACTGGAGCTTTACATAAAGCTTCCTTTAATATCTCGAAAGCACTTAGTGCTTCTTGAGTCCATTTAAAATATCTATTCTTTTCTAATAACCGCGTCAATAGTTTTTATCGCATCTAATTTCGATCGATCAGGTTTTAATCCTTTATTACTAATAATATGACCTAGATAATTTAATTCACTGCGTAAAAATCCACATTTATCTGGATGGAATTGCAAATTAGCTTTACGTAAACGTTGTATTAAATCATCAATTCTTTTTTCATGTTCATCCAAATTTGTAATCTATAACGACTCGCCATCTTTTATTACCTTGCGAATCTGGTTTCTTAGGCACGATCCAAACTGGACTATTATAAGGAGACTCAGAAGGCCCAATAATGCCTTTGTCGATTTCCTCTTTAATTTGCTTTTTAATTTCTGTTTTTAACAACTGAGGTGTACGATATTGTTTTACTGTTATATGAATATCTGAAGTAGTAGGTATTTTATGATTGTATACATCTGTTAACCCGAATGGTTCACCTGGAATATGAAACCGATCTGCATATTTTTTTTTAATTTTTTCGACATGTTTTCTTTCTTTTCGCCTAAGTGGCTTAATCTCAATGACTTTATAATTTTCTTAAATATTTTATTATTTTCAAAATTTTCAACAATTGACAAAATTTATTTCGTATCAGAATCTTCGAAATTTAGTTCATTAAAATCTGATTGAGTTTCAATTTTACAATTTCTTTTCAAACATTCTTCTTGATCAATTTTAGAATCATGTATACTCTCGATTGACTTATAAATATAGTAAGAATTTTCAAACCCACTTCATTCTCAGTCGTATTAAAAACCCACATATAAGCACGACCATCATTAACAAGTACTAAACAGTCTCCCAAAAATACGCCTTCACACGCTTTCAATCTTGGGACATAACCTTCGACAATATTTTTATTTTTAACTTTTACGAAAAAGATCGATTCACTACAAAAGGGAATATTCATCACGCCATCCTCGACTCTATTAGCTCCTTTAAATGGGTACTTAACATTATCTATTTCCATTACTGTGTCGTGGGATTATTTACATAGCTTAATTTAAGTAAGTTCGGTGAAGCTCCCGAATCTACCATTATAATTACATCTTTATTATTATTTTTGTTTTGCCTACAATAATATACGGTAGATCGTCTATATTTTCTAATTTTACGCCAATGATTAGTACTTGTTTTCGGTTTCCTCGAAAGTCAATGTCACTAGACGCTTTTGGAGTGCCTCTGACCCCGCGCCTATCTGGCGAGACACAGTCAAGTTTTCCTGTTCGTCGTATTTTTTAGCTCCATTTGTTGTAGTAATATTTACCACTAAGCTGTAGTAAAAATTAATATTTTATCAAAATTACTTTATTATTTTCTAAATATTACAAATTTTTATTTAAAAAAATACATAAATGTTATAGCATTTTTTATCCCAAAGTGGTAGTAGAAATCACCCACATTTCGAATTCTCATTTATGCGCATGTGTTAGTCCAGTACAAGCATGCGTATAACGCTGATGCGGTTGGGAGGGATCATTTCACGTGATCATCGTTTCTGACATACTTTTATACTACGCAGCTGAAATATCACAGTCATCTTGAAGGTAAGGTTCAAATTTACTATAAATTTCATTAACATCAGTTAGCAATTAAAATATAACGGTCATCAACTATTCATTTTATTTTATTGAGTGATTTAAGTGGTACTATTGACAAGGTAACAAGTCTTTGCATGAGTTTCTTTTTCCTTGTTTGGCTTTTAGATTATAGTTATTCATCGAACAAATTAAGTTGATTCACTGATTTTGAGAGGTTAACCTGAAGGCTGAGCTGTGGACAGATTTC